TCTTTACTGGTGGAGGTGGTGGAATCCACTTATCACATCTCTTATCTTCCTGGGATCTTTTGAGATTTTTGATGGAAGCTAGCCTTGAAGGACTATAATAAGGAGATGTCTTCCTAAAGGGCAGGACTCTGGGTTGTCACTTTCTCTTTGCCTAGTAGGACAGACAAATGGTCTAAAATGAAGTCATTCTAAGTCATGGACTTAGAAGTAGCAACATGATGATTTATGATGAGACTGAGCTGGGGAATATACAGGTGGAGCACTTGGAGTGAAAACATGGTACTCTTGAATACTCAAAGTCCTGGCTATGAGAGACTCAGGTAGTTGAACAATATGGCTGCCCTCAGATGGACCTGCCTCTTTCCCTATCTACTCTACTGCTGACTGAAAGGTCTCACAGATGAAGTGCTCTGGAGGCAAGGATCCATAGGTGGGATCCATGACTTGAATGGATCTAAGGTAGGACCCATGACTTTAATGTCTTTGAAAGGTTGAACTGATACTGCTGCAACAGTGACCCTGATAACTTCTTGAACCTGGGAGGCAGCCAGCCATCCAAAGGCCTTCTTTGCACTGGTGAATCCACAGGCTGGTGCCCATGGAACCTTCTGGCATGCAGAGCATCCCAGAAGCAGCTGGCCTTGTAGAACCCTGGAAAGGCTTCCAAAGCCTCCATCATGGCACCATGGGACATTCTGCTGTGGGAGATTATGGCACTGTCCCTGGGTGAAGCCTGTGTCCTGAGCATTCATATCAGGCAATTGCATTTCCCTCTACCAGGCTGTTCAAGCTCAGACGCTGCAGGAGGGCAATGAGTATGGCATCTCCCATGGCGACACCAGAGACCCCACCAAACAAATGACTCCCATCTTAGTGATTGCAGCTTTGCTGGTTCAGAGCTATACCAGGAAGAATGCTGCCCTCTTCTTGATGTAGAGGAAGTCTGTGGTCTTCTGTAGCTGCAACTTTGTATAGGCAGAGGGAGCTTACAATAATGGCTGGGTGATGTCAAAGTCTATGAGATCTCTCAACAAAGCAAGATCACACTGAGGAAATGTAGAAATACAGCCTGGGGATGGGGCGGGGGGTAAAGTTCTCTCTGACTCCCACTCCCTCAGCCCTACAAATAGACCTCCCAATACTGGCCACCCTGAGTTGAGAATGTTCTACCCTCTACATGCCCAATGAGCTGGAACTGTAGAGAAGAAAACATACACCCATGGCCTTCTATTTGTTGCAATGAAAAGTCTTAAATAATCTGCATTTCTCCTCCTTGTGAATAGTGTTTACCTAAACTTCTGAAGGATGCACTATGCATTCCATTAGTGTGCATCATGACAGATTTGGGATACATTTTTTTAAAAAAAGGATCAGAAGACACATGGGACTGGATCACCCTGTCAGGAATCGGGGAATGGTTGGATCTAAGCAACTGCAATGTCATGCCTTCTCAAGTGGTGCTTGGTAGTGAGGACAGTGGACTGTGGGTGGACATCCAGTGTTTTCCTTTTTGTTGTAGACCTTAAGCATGTGTGTAGGTGTTCACCCATTCCCTGTCAATGTGAGCCTTGTCTACAAGGAGTCAATATCTTTAAATCTGATTTTCATAACTGATCTCAGGCTCAGGCTGGGACTAGAAGAGGACAGGAGTAGGATCTGGACCTTGACTTTACTATTTTTTGTCAGTCATGGGGCTTGAATTTTGGGCCTGGGTGCTATCCCTCAGCTCTTCAGCTGAAGACAAGCGCTTTATCTCTAGAGCCACATTGCCACTTCCATAAACCTTGACTTTTCTTTTTTTGTTTTTTTTTTGGGGGGGGGGGTCCAGTCATGGGCCTGAACTCTGGGCCTGGGCACTGTCCCTCAGCTCTTCAGCTCAAGGCTAGCGCTCTACCACTTGAGCCACAGCACCGCTTCCGGCTTTTTTCTTTTTAGCTTATGTGGTGCTAAGGAATCGAACCCAGGCCTCAGGCATGCAAGGCAAGCACTCTACCACTGAGCCACCTTCCCAGCCCGACCTTGACTTTTCTGAGTGAGCTTTGTTCTCTAGCTCTGAAGCCTTCTGAAGGGCTGAAGGCTATTAAACTTCTTTCTCTTAAACAACATGCAGCCTGTTCCTAATAGGGCCAGGGATGAAACATTTAATCCGCTCTGAAAGCATGTTCTCTGGCCTTGATTAAGCCACCCTCTCATTCTCTAGATGGACTGGACACCACCTGTCTCCTTAAACCTGTCTGTACCCGAACTCTCTCTGTAAAACCTGGCTTACCTAGTTAACCTTCATACCTACATGCCACGCCACATACACTTGGTTGAAACTTCTGGAATGAAAGGTTCTGGACAGGAGTTGAGCCTGGCATAGACTCAAGTCCCAGGCATCCCCCAGGAGTTGGTGGAGACCTGGATTCCCTAGAGAAGACAATCAGGTCAGATTTAACCCGTTGTTCTCTGAGAAAGAGAAGTTCCAGTGTGACTGCTGCTCACCACAGTGACCCAGGGCCCAGTGGCAGGATGCCTGTCCTGTGCCCTGACAAGTCCCACCTGGGAGAACGTCTGTCCTGCCTCCAGGCCAGTTCAGGCCTGCCATTGTACACAACAACCCGTTTCCTCCTCTAACAAGCAGCTCAATATCCAACCACCATGGGAACCCAGTCCGAGAGGCACAGGCACAATGGAGGGGAAGCTGCTGAAGCAAGCGTTTGGAAAGGAGCAGAGATCACAGCAGGCAAAACAGCCATGAAGATGTGTCTGCAAGGAGTCCTTAGCTGGGTTCAGCAAAGAGAGGCCGGCGCAGGTGGGCGGAGCAACTTCCATAAAGCTGCCTGTGGTGGATAGATGGCTTCTGATTTGTGGTTCCTGGTATGTCCAGCTGAGTGGACATCTTTCTGTGACCAGTGGGTGCCAGGCCACCTTATGCGGAGTCTGCGTGAGAGATTGCGTTAGACAAAGAGCTTCAAGGAAGCATGCCTGCAGGAAGGAGGTGTTGGTTCAAGGCTTCCCATTCACATGGCTGCACCTTTATAGCCTCTACCTTTATTCTTACTATACTCTTCTTGGCTGTACATTCGTTGCCTTATTCTCGTTTTGACTACTTTTCTATTGATCCGCGAACAGAGCATGTTGTATCTTTCCAGTCCAATAGAGACGGCTTCTCTAAGTAATAAAGACTAAGACTGAAGATTAAATGTGGGCAATGCCCCAATCAATCTATTATCTGATGTGACGTTGCCTCCAGAAACTCCTACAACTTCACAAGGGGTTTTGCAGCTCACGCATAGTAAATATAGAGACTTAAAATTTCCAGATATGTCCAGCAGACAAAATCAATGAATTAAACTAAGTTAGAAAGAGTTATCCCAGTAGTTCAGAGAGTTCTAAAAAAGAAGGGACCTCTGATTATAAAAGAAAAAGGAAGATTCTCCCAACAGTTATGATTAAGTTTAGTCCAACTTACGTTATAGGGAATAGATGGTGTTTTCACACAAAATATAAAGTTAGTAACATATTTCCTGAACCAACCAAGAACCATTTCCTTATACAGGAGCTTATAAAGATGAAAATAGTTGGATAAAAATAAAAATAAAAAGAGTACAATGTAAGTACAGCACTGTCTTAGGTTTGTTAATTAATAAACATAAAAAGGCTGAATAGATGACGCATTCTATTAAACAATATGCTAGACTTGTTTCGCACCACTTAGCTTAAACAGTTGGTGGGATAGTCATCAATTTTCATGTAATTCATCAATGCTTTGCCTTTAAAAAATTGATTAAGTGATTAAATAAACAAAGAATCTATGTCACACACACTGTATAAAAATGTTAATTCTCCTCAATAAAGATACACTCAGATGCAATTCTTTTGAGTCTGTGTCTGTTTGTCACTTCGCCGACTCCCTTGCCCACCTATCCCCAGATCCCTGTCCCATCGGTCCCAGTGCTCCGGCCGAGCAGGTCTGTTGCACCTACACATGGGCATGTGTATGCACTTATGTGCTTGTATGTTCATGGCCATACCTTCCCTTACGTGGTCTGTCACACCTGACTATACTCAGGAGTTGTCACTGGGATCAGCTCCCAGGCTCTCTCACTTTTTTTTTCGGGGGGGGAGGTCAGGTCGTGGGGCCTGAACTCTGGGCCTGAGTGCTGTCCCTCAGCTCTTCAGCTCAAGGCTAGCACTCTACCACTTGAGCGACAGCGCCACTTCCAACTTTTTTTCTTTTTGCTTATGTGGTGCTGAGGAATCGAACCCAGGGCCTCAGGCATGCAAGGCAAGCGCTCTACCACTGAGCCACCTTCCCAGCCCCCTCTCTCACTTTTGACATACAGATGGGCCACCAGTGCTGCTATCCTCTGTCCCTTATCCTGTTACATCACTGGACCACCTTTGCCCCTCGCACTTCCATGTGGAAATGGCTGGAGTTCTGCTCCTCAGACCTGGAGTAAAAAGTGGTCCAGCCAGGTCCTCCCCCCTCCTCCTTAACCCTCCACAGACCAAATCTTTGGTCAAACCCCTGTTGGTACCATGGGAACCACTAAGGGCATCAAGTCACCCATTTTAAAGGAGAACAGAACTTTTCATTCTATGTTATACTTTCAACTTCTTGTTCAGCCCCTGCCTCCTAAGACTTCTTTCCATAGACAAATATATACATTCACAACCAAGGAACTGTTACTGCTGCTTTATACCAGTCGGGATGTCATCTCAGCATTCTACCCCTAAAAATGACCCCCCCCCGTTTCAGCAGGAAGTAGCCAGAGAGAATCAGTGGCTCTTCTCAATTGTCAAAGGCTAGAATGTTAGGTATGCCCATGACATTGGCCCACTCTCCTCCTGCTCTCCTCCTCTTCTCTCCTAGAAAGGAAATCTCAGCAGCCATTCCAGAAATCACCTGTGGGAAACAAGTAATGACATCGAAGTGTCAATCCCCTGATTGAGTCTGCAAGAGCCCCAGGCTCTCAGGTCACTTCCTCATCCTCTGAGGTCTTGTGCTTATCTGCCCCAGTCAGGCCTCTTCCTGCCAGTGAGAAGATCCATCAGCTCTGATGTCATTTCCACATCAACTGTGGACACATCTCCTCCTTGCCCTTCCCATATAATTCCTCTCTCCTGCCCTGTGTTCTCACTGCGCATGCATCCAACTCTGTCAGGACATCAGTTTTCTCCTGCTCTTGACTAAATCAACTCTTGCTGAAGAAGATGGCACTCGCCAGCTTTTTACCTGTACCTACTCAGCTATCTCAGGACCAACCTGAAGCAGAAGAGAAGGCAGAATCACACAGTCCATGGCAGATTTCCCTGGCCTCTTCCCGTAGAGAAACTTCCTCCATATGTATACAAGAAAGGCTGTATATCTCGCTTGCTAGAGGAGTTTGATGATGCTTTTCCAGAGATCCATGTGGCCCATTATCCACTGGATAGAGATGACAAAAAAACAGGTCAAATGCACTGGCCATTCAGGTTGATCCTGAAGGAAGAATTCAGTACGATGCAATTGCTCAACAAAGACAGTCGAAAGACAAGGTCATTTACAGCAAATATACTGACCTGGTGCCAAAGGAGGGTATGAATACCAATGACCCAGACCCACAGAGACCCAGCGAAGAAGTTTTCAAGAGATCATAGCAAAGACATGGGTAGCCAGCAAAAGGTTGCCACAGCCATGCCAGTTGGAGCAGCTGATAAACTGGCTCGCACTCAGTATATGAGATACACACCATCTCAGCAAGGAGTGGCATTTAACTCTGGAGCTTCACAGAGGCTAATTCAGATGGTAGTAATGCAGAAAGATCCAATGGAACCTCTGAGGTTCAAGATCAACAAGAAGATTCCCCAGGGACCACCTACTCCTCCTGCACCTGTCATGCACTCTCCAAGTCAAAAAATGACTGCCAAGAAGCAACAAGAGTGGAAGATTCCTCCTTGCATTTCCAACTGGAAAAATGCAAAGGGTTATACAATTCCATTAGACAAGCAACTGGCCGCTAGTGGAAGAGGACTTCGGATGGTACACATCAATGAGAACTTTGCCAAACTGGCTGAAGTTCTCTATGTTGCTGACTGGAAGGCTCTGGACACTGTGGAAAGATGGGCCCAAGTGGAGAGAAAAAGGATTCAGAATGAAAGGTAAACTTAGAGTGATGGCCCAAAAGCCAGCGACAGGAGAGCTGGGATCAAAACCCATGTGGACAGATGATAGGGAGGCACCCATGTAGGAGGGATGAGATCCAGCAGGACAGGCAAAAAGAGAGAGGGCATGACCATTATCTTTCCTGGGCAGCTGCTGGGAAGGGATCGGAACTGCAGAAAAAGGAACAGCAGATAATCACTGAAATCACTGAAGTCATTGGGGTGTCCCCAATCCTTGCACCTCAAATGAAGTTCAGTATGACCGACGGCTCTTCAATCAATCCAACGGTATGGACAGTGGATTTGCAGGCAGAGAAGATGCAATTTACAATATGTCACAAGCTAAAAAGAAAATAATACTGACCCAGATAATAGCAAAAAGTTTTAAATCCTTTCTTCTGCCTTCCCCTACCATCCATTCAGAAATTAACACACCTCACCAAATCAACAGGAAATGACTTGACAGCTTACTTGGTTTTATGGTCACATCCTACTTTGGGGTGATAACCTTTGTTCCTGTTGTCTATCCAATATCCATAATTTTTCGACAACAATAACCAAAAATATATTCTTTTAAACATGGTCTAACCATGTGGGCCAGGATGCTTCAAACTCCCAATCCTCTTACCTCAATCTCACAAGTGTTGGGATTACAAGCAAACACCATCAGTGCTTAAACCAAAAATCATTCTTCCTCCAGTTTCCATGAGTTGACTGATATCCCTTAGGATCTGCAGTGGGGTGGAAGTCAGGTGCCTGCAGGGGCCGAAGGGTTACTAGGTCTGGACGTCCACATGGCTTGCCAGTGGTGAGCAGAAGCCTTGTTGGTCAGACCTCCTTAATCCAGTCAACCAGGCACAGGGAAAGGTCAGATGTGACATTCCAAGAAACAAGCCTGAGAGGTGCTTACAATGAAGACCTGTGATGGAATTAACATGGTCAACATTGCCCACAGTACTTCACATACCTTACCTCTAGTTGGGCAGAATTGTTCCTTCTGATCTGCACTGTGACATTTTTATAGTAGCTTCTAAATAAATACATACGTACCATAAGACTTGGCAATCTCTTTCTTGGAATCAAAACAAGTATACTAAAAGTGGATGTCCATCCCAAGTCTACAATGTGGGTGTTCCTAACAGCTTCAAGTGTCTGAGCCAAATGTCCATCCCCAGTGAATTGGTAAAAACTATACATGTACTAAGTAATACTATCAAATAAACACCTGTACTTCAATATCTTCCATATGAAAACAAGGAACTACCATTTATACATATATAGCTCAATGTTGTCCTGCTCTTCTGTGGGAAGGTTGATAATCGCTAGTCTCCTGACCTCCTTTTCAAAGTATCCTCAGTAAGTTTAGAGAAGCTGAACCTCTGGGCCTGGTTGTTGGGTTCTCTAATGTAAGTTTCAATAAATGGAGACCACAACATGCTTCAGATAGGTAAGAGTTTATTTTATTTTATTCCTTCCAACAAGGAAAAATTTTACAAAATTTACAATATTACAAAATTTTACAACATTTCAAATAAAAATATAAAACACCAAAATGTGGCAACATTTAGAGAAAGCATCCTGAGTCAAGATGCTGTTGTTTCTTCCAAAGTTTAGCCATAGTCAGAAGTTTGAGGTTAGCTTGGCTGGCAGCTTCATCTTCTGGAAAGATGTAGTCACAGTATTCTTCCCAGCCTGCATCAGACCCGTCATCAGTCTGAACCTTTCTTCTCTTCTTCACTTTCTCTGGCATGAGTCTGTCTACTCTCTCCTTATCTGATACTGTTCCAAATTCATCCTCAAAGCGTCTCCACGATTGCAGCAGCATAAGCCTCGCTTCCTTTTCTTCACAGTTCTGCATGGTTTTGTTAGCCTCTTCATAAATCTGTCTGCATTTAGACACACTTCTGTCTTCTCCTGCAGACAACTCAAAGTGAGCCAAACTGATCCATACCTTGACATGCTGTGTCCGTTGGAGCAACTGTCGGTAAAGATTTCGTGTTCTCTCAATTTCTCCCTGTTCCATCTCAAAGTCGATGTAGGATTTCCAAAGCACCTCTGGCATGTCTAAGCGAGGCTGGCTGATGGCTAACTCATAGATTGCCCTGGCTCTCTCCACATCACCGAGGATTGTCTCTAATTCTGCAAACTTAATCCAGGAGGTACAATTTTCAGGTGCAAATTCCAACAGCTTTGCATAAAGCTTCCGGCATCTGTCAAATTCTCGAAGCTTCACTTCCAGTTCTATGTAGCCTTTAAATAACTTGCTCTTTGGACACTTGCCTATGGAAGTCCCCAAAGCTCTTCTGGCAGATGATAAATTTCTCTGTCTTATTTCAAATTGTGCATAATAGAGCCACATTTTGGCAAATGTGAACTCTTGATGAGGAATTAATTCCAAAGAGGCTTGATACACCTGCCTTGTCCTCTCAGGATCCTTTGCCTGCAATTCTTCATAGAGTGCATAGTTGATCCAGAGGTAGATGTAACGCTTCCAGTGTCTCTTCTCCTGAATGGGTGGAATGTTGGCAATGGCTCTCTCATAAACCTCTCGCACTGTGTCAGATTCTGCAGTGCTTTCCAGTAAGCGCAAGTAATCAAACCACGCATCATAATTGTGGGGACTGGCCCTCACTTCCTCTTCATACTGGAATCTGCGTTTGCTCACAATGATAGCCTCAATACCCCGTCTGTCACCAAACTTCTTCTCAAAGATGGTATAGTTTTTGAAGAGCTCTTGAGCCTCATGTTTTGGGATTCTGTCCAAGGCATACTTGTAGATGACCTGGGCCCTCTCAAATTCTTTCTGGTTTTCCTCAAATTTGGCAAAGGCAACATAGAGGTGTTCATCCATATGCTCCTCTCCGAAGAACTCAACAGCTCTCTCATACACTTTCCGTGCGTGGGCAAAATAAGCATGTTTTTCTTCAGAGTGGGCATATTTGATCCAGTTCTTCACCCGCGGGTGCACAAGAACAAAGCGTTCGTAAATGGTCCGAGCCCGCTCCACCTCTTTGTTTCTCAGCTCAAAGTTAATGTAGGAGTGCCAGGCTTGCTCCTCGGGCTGCCATTCCATCCAGCGCTCAAACACCTGCCGGGCACCGGCCATGTTCCCCAACAGCTCTTCCATGTATGTGTACTTGTACCAGAACTGGCTGACTCGTGGCAGTGCTGTTATGGCACGGTCCCACACATTTCGGGCATGGTTGGCCTGGCGATTCTTCATTTCCATTTCTGCATATTTCAGCCAGAGGGTGATATTTCTATAGTCCACGTCTAAAGCACGCTCGTAGATGGATCGAGCCCTCTGAATTTCCTGGAGCCTTTCTTCCCATTGTGCGTATTTTATCCAGTTCCCAATCACAGTCCGGTTCTTCCTTAAGTTATCTTCAAAGGCCTTCCTTTTCCTCAGCTTGTAGTCATTGAATTCTTCTTCATCTGCGATCCTCTGTTGAGGTGGAGGTGGAAGAAGCTCAAGCTCTCGTTCTTTGGCCTCCCTGAGCAGTTGTTCGGCGGTGATCTGGACGAGAGCTGGAGCTTTGTTTTTGACCTTGGCCACCTGAGGGATCCGCAGTTTCCCGACTGCGGTGGAGACCGCCATGTCTGCAGGAGATCCTGGGAGATGTCCGCACACACTGGGATCGCAGAGAGCTGCCCGACAGAGAGCTCTTGACACTATCAAGCTTCCCAACAACGAAGCGAGTCCGCGGGAAGAGCTGAGTGACAGGAGGGAGCAAGACCAACCTGCGTGCCGACCTGCACTGGAGGGAGGCTGGCCCAGAGACAAAGCTTAACACCAGCCAGAGGGCTTATATAGTGCCAGGCGGGGAGGAGGCGTGGCCACAGCGGAGGCGGAAATGACCTCAGAGCTTAGGGAGCCTCTCA